ACTCTTGCCTCCTCCCATCAGCAGCTCAGTCCCCCAGCTCTCCCCTAACGCCCAGAGACGCACCCCATACGAGTGGATGAGGCGCAGCATCCCCAGCACCAGCAGCAGCGGTAAGGAACCCCTACCCCTGCACCTTTCTCGGTGAAGAGGATCCCTGGGCTTGAACCTTTGCAGGGCTGGACCCTGCCCTGCATGGCGACTGCCGGGACAGACAGCACTCTTGGCCTGTCCTTGGCATGGCGCCTGGTCCCCAAAGAGCTGGGAGACCCCACGGACAAGGTGGCAGGGAATGAGGATGTGCAGGGAGGGCACCATCCTTCTGCGTTGCTGGCAGCCGAGGTGATATGGTTGGAAAGTCCTTTTCCCCTGCCCATCTCTGCCACAGCAACCCTGCTCTCGCCTGCTGCTAGTGGGTAGGATGGGCAGAACCAGGGACCCTCTGGGATCTCAGGGTCCTGCCATCCCCGAGGGGTGTTGGGCGGGGGTGTCTCCACTTTGTGGGGCTGTAGCTGTGAGCCGGACCTTGTAGGGGGGACGCGTACGTGTGTGCGAGGTGCCTTATGCTGCCTGTGTGGTGTGTGTGCAGACGCCTGCAGGGATGGCACTGCAAGTATGTCCATGGAGGGAAGGTGCTGCTCGTGCTCTGTACCTGTGTAAGGTGTGCTCAGCCTGCGCCAGGTGCTCTAGGCTCTGCTTGAGCGCGCAAAGCACCCCAAGTACAATGTGTGTGTGGGGCTTGCTGCAGAGAAAGTGTCCCTGAGCGTGTGTGTTTGCAAGGTGCTGCGTGTGCACAAGCTGCCGTGTGTACACGCATGTGTCGCGTGTGCAAGGCGCGGTGTGCGGGTGCACACACGGTGAGTGTGCAAGGTTTGGCGTGTTTGGGGACGGTGCCACATGAAGGGTGCAGGCGGGTGCTCCGGGACCAGCACCCAGCGTGTGGGTGCTGTGCACCCCATGAGCCGGTGCTCCTCTACCCACCGCTGGCACGGGCACTGAGTGGCCATGCTGTCCCCACCATCCAGTCCCCATGTCCCCGGGGTCCTGTCCCCACTGAACTCCTGACCTGGGAGCAGGAGGGGCAACATGTCTGGGTGACCCCAGCCCCCTGCCCGCTCTGGGCGGGGAGACCCTGCTGCCCACTTCAAAGGCGGTGGGCAGGTCCCCCCTTGGGGCCAGCCCAAATTGACAAGGCTTTTGCTTTGTGATGGAGATGGTGGCCGGCTCCTTTGGCAGCGAGGTGAGGTGCGGGGGGGCCCTTTGTCCTGCCCTGCCTGTGCCCTTTCATCTTCCCCTCCAGGCTGATTGCCTGGACCCATCCCGCCTGCAGCAGGACCCTCTGTCCGACAGACTTGCCCAGACCCGCCACCTCTCTCTCCCGTGCTTGCCATGAGCCCTGCAGAGCACTGCTGAGGCCAAGCTTGCTACAGAAGTGGATTTTGGTTGCTCCATATCCCTGGGATCAGGACCAGGGGTCTCTGTTTGCAAAGTGTCTCCAATTTTAGCCTTGTTTCTGGCTCCCCCCTGGCCAAGCCCTCTGCAGAAACCCTTGTGTAAGGGGCTGTTGCAGAGGTGCTGGAGAAAATAGCTCCTCCTGTTCGCCAGATCCGTGTGGCAGGGATGGGACTGGGGTTGTCCCTGTGGGACCAGTAGCTGTGGTGGAGCAGGCAAGAACATCCCAATGAATGGAAAAAAACCCAGGCCCCATCTGGAAAGAGAAGGGGAGAGGCAGGCTGGTATTTCCTGACTCATTTTAAGCACTGAATATAGCTATTTAGGAAAAATACCTTCCCCTCTGCTGATACCCAGTGATGGAGACCCCAGGTGTGCTGGGGCTGAAGGCTTCGCTCTGCTCCTGGGTGGAAGTGAGGGGTGATCCTGCAGCACCCCCCCGGTCACACAGCTGGGATCCTGCCACTTCTGCAGGATTTGTAGGTCCAAACATCTCGGTTTCTTTTGAGGAGAAGGATGGGAGGAAAAATGAATGAGGGGTGAAAGACATCGGCACACCACTCCTCTGGATCAAGGGCATGGTTTTACACCCAGCGGTGGGGCCGAGATAAAACAGGGGCTTGAAAGTGCCTCTGATTGTGTTAGATGACAATTGAGTTGATTGAATTCTGGGAAAATATCATTAGTTGCCTAGTTTGTATCTCTTAGATTAAACACGTACAAAGGCAGAAAAATTCAGCTTTGTTGCCCTTGCACACAGAGGAGCTGCCCCAGCCCAGCCCTAGCGCTGCAGGGATGGGTGCTGGGGTGAAAGCCCCTTTCTTCTGGTGATTCGTCAGGGTGGACGACCAGCAAGGTCCCTCTTTAAGGCACTTGCAGCTTAAGGACCTGTCCTTTCACCTCTGCTAGGTTGAAGCCCAGCACTGCTGGTGCCAAGCAGCTGCAGGATTTGGCCACAGTGGGACCATGTGCTGGGAGTCAGTGGGATGCAGCCTGTATTTTCCAGCGCTGCCCTTTAAATGCAAGAAAAAGAGCCTTTCTCCATTAAGCTTGAAAGAGAGCAGAGCAGAGATGGGTTTGACATAGATAAGGGTGAAGTTCTTAGGTGAATCGTTTTACTGAAACCAATAAACTGGACTTTGATCAGTCTGGATTGATTAACTACCCATCTCACCATAGCAGGAATAGGAAATGAATATGCGGAGTTTTATGCTATAAATATCACCAGTTTCATTGTGAATGCTGTAAATCATAATACTTCAGAGGGTTGTAAATTAAGGTTCCCTCTCTGTCTTGCCTTGTATAAACAGCTCTTGGCTGTAGCTTGAAAGCTTTTGGGAAGGAGCTGTGCAGTGCCAAGAGAAAATGTTAGAGGGAATATGAGGGTGTTGGGGGCTTCTGCAAATATGATCCAGAGCCCAAGAAAAATCAGTGAGAAATCTCACAGTGATTGATTGCAGAGTCAGGCTTTTCAGGGGGATGATCTGATATATCTGTTGCTGAATATGTGTGTGCTTTACCCGTCTGAGCAAAGGTACCCCTACAGCAGAAGGCATCGCTCGCTGGAAATCAGGAGTTAAAGGAAACCAAGCTGGAAGCTGTCCCCAGGCCTCATTTCTTTCTCTGATGTCACCTCTTTTTCTGCTCATAAAATCTTCACGAGCAGCGTGTCAGAGCCTCAAGCTTCCTCCTTATTCACAATTATTTGCAAACTTCCCTGTGAATTGCACCCCGGCTCTATAAAAAGCTCAGGAAGGTGGCTGGAAAAGGGGCTGGCTGAACTTTGAAATTCACCCTCTGCTCATTAGTTATGCAAATCCTCAGAAATTGCCTCGGGTCTGGCTTTTAGGTCACTAATCGAGCTGGGCCCCAGTGCTAAATATTGCAAGTGAAAGTGCAAACTGGGGCATCCCTTGGGGAGGCGAATGTACTTGGGACTTTACATTGTACCGGTGCTTGTGGTTCCTGGGCAGGTTTTGGGGTGATGGAGAGCAAACAGTGATGCTCTGAGCACAGACGAGTGGTGATTTTCTGGATATGCAGTTTTTCATCTCAATTTTTCCCTATTTCCAGCTCAGTTTTCCAGCTCTATTTGTTGCCCTACTGAGGTCCATGAAAGCTGGACAGAAGAGTAAAAACCCCAATAATGAAATAGAAACATTTCCACTGGGCAGGCGGGGTTCGTGCTGTGCATGGTACATTTTGGGGTGATGACTGAAGAACAGTGCATTCTCTCCCCTGTAAGGAGGACCCGTCTTCAGGACACAGTTGCTCCCCATGACCACTTTGCTGTCCTGGGTTACTTGGTGTGTGCTTCCATTGGTCTTCTCCCTTTGAATTATTAACCCACACCTGCTCCTGGCCCCAGCTGGGATTTGTTGACTGCTTAGCCTTCTGGCCAAGGTACAGGCCTTTCAAATTTTCCTAGAATTGACTTTTCTTGAAAAAAAAAGGGGCTTCCCTGGAGCACTGGCAGTACCTACGTGATGGGTTGGGCTGGCTAATACCCTGGGATTAGCAGAGAGACACTTTAAACCTCTGGCCAATGGCAGATGTTTCCTACAGGGGACCCTTCAAGGACGCCCACTGCACTGCTGTTAGCTTTGTGATCGCCTGGATAAGGGGCTGGATCCTTCCCCTCTGTTGCCCCAAGGTAAGACAGGCTGAGCCCTATGGGGGGCTGAGAGGAGTCCCAGCGCCCAACCAGCACCACCGTCACCTTGCTCTCCTACTCTTCCTCCTTCTGCCCCAGCGAGACCAAATCCACTCTTGGTGACAGGTTCGGACGAGCTGGAGCCAGGCTCGGTGCCGGCGGGGCTGGGGTGAAGGCGCTGCTGTGAAGGGATCTGTTTCCTCGCCCTCCTGTGCTGGCGTGGTCTTTGACCCGGCACAGGAGCCAGGCTGGCAGCACTTGGCTCAGCACTCGTAAAACCATGGGAGCAATCGAAGGAATCTGCCAGTTGACAAAATAAAGGGTTGAATCACTGCAGGGCTGGGAAATGCTTGCCCCAACGCCCAGCCTCAGGCTGCTGGCCCCGGGGAGCTGAAGCATCTCCTGTTGCATTGCTTCTCCAGGAACACAGGGTTGTGATGGGGAATTGTTACAACTACCGGCAACCTGCTCCTCATCCCCTTGGGGTCTGCGCCGCCTGGGAGGAAGGTGAGGGTTGCAGGTGGGGTGGCTTCACCCACATATGTGGGCACAAACCCCAGCTTGCTGTGCTGGCGGCACGGAGCCCAGCTGGGACGAGATCCTGCACACCGGGTTGGGCTTTCCGAATCTGGCTTTTTGCCCTGGTTTTTGTGCCCTTTAGGACCTTTAAGATCATTGAGTCCAACCATTAACCTCGCAATGCCAGGTCCTTCCCAGCAGCCGGGCTGCCCTATGTGGCTGTGCTGTGCTCTGAGCCTTGGCCTCTGCCTCCTGGCTCTGCCAGTCCTCGAACCTCAGCCATGAGCACTCACTTATAGCAAAGCTTTTTTGGAAGCACAGACCTAGACCCTGTGTGTGCAGGGGTCTAGAAAGCCATTGGGACAAGCGGTGTGGTTTTATAGGTGAAACATTTCCAGCGTGTGAAGTACGGCGCTGAATCAGGTTTTATTGCTATGGGTACTCACAGTATTGCTGCTTGCTCTGAAGGCTTTGGCACCAGGAGGAAAT